TGCCGAGACTCCTGGAGCTTTTCTGCACCACTGAGTTTCCCCATTTGCACCACAAGAGTTTCCCCTTACAAGCCGCTCTGCGTGCCCCGGCAGCTGGCCGAGCTGCTGCAGCTGAGCGTGTGCGCCGACTTTGACGCCATGCTGCGCCACGACTGGAGGCGCCTCGGCATCTCCGCCGAGGAGGTGCGAGAGTGGCGCAACGCGCCGATGCGCGTGCTGAGCTCGCAGGGCGACCTCGTGGACAGCTACGACCCGGCGCTGAAGGAGCGCCGCACCGTGTGCTTCTTGGCCTTTGACGGGCACTGCTACATGTACAGGGCCGTGAAGCGGGTGCTGGAGAGGCAGGCGGCGCGCGTGCTCTACCGGGGCGAGGCGAGGCTAGTTTTCCATGCCATTTCCAGGCCTGACATCCAATTTCCCCGCTTTTTCCGTGTTTCTGCCACCTAGTTTTCCACGCCATCTCCATATCCAGACCCCAAATTTCCTTGCTTTTTCCGTGTTTTTCCGTGTTTTTGCTACGGGGAAAACTTGGCTTCCCTTTCCACCCTTTCCGTGTTTTTGCTACGGGGGGTTTTCCATGCCATCTCCAGGTCCATATCCAGGCCCCAAATTTCCCCGCTTTTTCCGTGTTTTTGCTACGGGGAAAGCTTGGCTTCCCTTTCCACCCTTTTAACGGAACCGTGTCGTCGTAGGTGCCCGCGAGGACCGAGAGGAAGTGGAAGTGCTCCGAGGCTCCCTTCATAGGGTTGTGAGGGTACTGCAGGCTGCCCAGCTGCATCTGAGACTCCAGGAGGCTGTCCTCCTGCCTGGCCGCGCCGATGGGGGCCACGTCCTGCCCCGGGTTGGCCAGCAAGTGGATCTTGGAGCCCGCGTCGTTGTCCCAAAAGGTCAAAAACGCGCCCATGAGTTTCGTGAAGGCCCCATGAGTTTCGTGAACACGGTGACTTTGTGTTCCGCCACTCCGCGTTCGGAGACGCTGGACTGCTGGGCGTGTAGCAAACGTCGGTGAGTGGAGGCGCTTTGACGCCGCGGACGTGCAGCCGGGGCTGTTCTGGTGCGAGGACCTGCGGGAGGCGCGGCGCCAGCTCATGGCCGTCGGCGAGAGCCCCAAGGTGGCCATCAGCAGCCCGGCGCAGTACTGCGGGCTGAGGCTGAGGCGGGGCACCAGGATCCGAGAGCTGCCGGAGGAGCACGAGGTGCTGCGGAGGTGGTAGGCGCTGGGGCAGGAGTACCGGGGCCAGCCTGGCCGGCTGGCGCACGAGATCTTCCTGAAGCTGCTCAAGGCGAAGTGCCCGGCGCGGCGGAGAGGCAGAAGACCCTGGCCGCGCAGGACGGCAAGTGCGCGCTGTGCGGCTGCGGGCTGACGGCCGGCACCTGCGAGCTGGACCACGTGGTGCCGGTGAGGCAAGCCTTTGCGGGCAGCGTGCAAACTCTGCAGGCGCTGTGCGGCGACTGCCACAGCGAGAAGACGCTGAGAGAGAGCGCGCAACCCACCAGCCTGCGCAGGCGTGCAATAGAGACGCTCTGTACGTCGGCGTGGACGTGGTGCGCTGCAGGCGCAACGGGCTGGCGCGCCCCCTTCCCCCTGCCCATCCTGTGGCGTTGAGCCCGTGGACGGCGTGCTGCCGGACCTGGGCTTTGTGGAGGGCTGCTGCGACGCGAGGCAGTCCTGCCTGAATTTGTTGCCGTACGTGGGGCCCAGCTGGTGCCCGAAGGTTTCGCTGGCCGCGATGCTGGACCTGGGCGTCTGCCGCTGGGACCACATTGTGTTGGGCATCTCCGTGCGGAGCCACGTGCCTGGACGCGCCGCCGCGCTACCTGGCACAGGTGAAGACGGACTGCCTGCTGACGCAGCGGCTGCCGAAGCGCTTCACGGAGCGGCTGCGGGCGCTGGAGGCGCTGCGCCGCCCGGACGGCACGCCGGTCTACCGCGTAGAAGAGACGAAGCCGTTGCTGGGCAGCAGCAGGGCGCCGCGCATGGAGGCGGAGCGCCCCAAACAACGGAGGTGGAACGGGGTGGACGACCCCGTGGGCCACTGCCTGGCGGGCAACTCCCTGCTGCTCACGGGCCTGCCGGGCACCGGAAAGCCGCACCTGGCCCGGACCATTGTGGCGAGGCTGCGAGAGCAGGGCGAGGCGGTGCACCTGGTGTCCAAGACGCACTGCTCCGCGCAGAACCTGGGGCTGGGCGCAGACAGCCGACCACTGGGTGCGCAGGTACGTGCGCGGGGGCAGCGCGCAAAAGCTGGACTGGCTGGTGATGGAGGAGATCACGCAGCTGGACATGGCGCTCTGGGCGGACCTGGCGTGCGTGGGGCTGAACGCCGACGTGAAGTTCCTGCTGCTGGGGGACTTCCGGCAGTTGCCGGCCGTGCTGTCCTGGGCCGGGCGGCCCATCAGCGCGCCGTTGGAGCACAGCCAGCTGATCCGCGACCCCGGCATTTTCAACTTCGTGAAGTGGCTGCGGGTCGGCGAGGAGGCGTGCGCACGCTGGAGCAGGCCAAGGCAAGGCTGAAGGAGCTCTACCCCTCCAAGCCCGGGTGGCCGGACACCACGCTGGTCATCAGCCACAGCAAGCGCATGGCCGTCAACGCAGCGGCGAACCGGGCCCTGGCGCCGGAGGCCTCAAAGCTCCTAGAGCTGGAGACACAGGTCATCCACATAGATTTGGGGGTGCAGAGCATGAGGGTGTGGCCGGGGCCGGAAAGATACCAAGGGTGTCTTTGTGGCCGTGGCGGAAGTGGAGCCGGACTGAGGCTGGACAACGGCATGCGGCTGAAGAACCAGGAGCTGCTGCGGGCCACCCGGCAGCCACGCAGTGACCTACGCCAGCTGCCAGGGCCTCACCCTCCACACGCCTGGACCTGGAGTCCTGCCACCTCACGCTGCGCCACCTGTACGTGGGCGCCTCAAGGGCCACGAGCTCCGAGCTGCTGGAGGCGGCCTGGCCGAACGGGCAGCACGGCGCCTCCAGGGGCTCCAGCACGCACCTCAAAGAGCACGCGCCGCTGCCTGCCCATCAGCCACACGTGCCGGGCCTCCACAAGCGCGCGGCCCCTGCGACGCGCGAACTCCGCGGGGCGCGGCACGCGGTTGCCGGCCGGGTCCCAGAAGAGGCAGCGCTCCAGGTCAATCTTGCACTTGACGTGCTTGCCCTTGGCGCTCACCTTGACGGCGCGCTGCAGCTGGCTCTCAAGCTCGGTGCGGGCGGCCCCCGGAAAGGGCTTCTGGAAGACGATCATGTTGTCGATGACGCCCTGCTCCACCGCCTCCGTCCACAGCTCCAGGTCGGTGTTGCTCGCAAAGCACACGCCCACCCTCTTGGCCCCGTCGTCCTGGAAGTTGCCGGGCTCCCACAGCACCTCCACGTCCACCTTGCGCACCAGCGCGCCCTGATGGGAGTCCTCTATGGACATGAACTTCCCCCCCTTGGCATTGGTCTGAACGTCCAGCCCGAGTGCAAGCTTCATGGTTGCGAAGTTCGGCTCCTTTTTTTGTCCGTAGGAAAAAAGTCCGGTCCGATGAACGCGCGAGTCTTCTTGGTCGTCGCAGTGGCGGTGATCTTGCTCTTTAAAAATGCCGAGACTCCTGGAGCTTTTCTGCGGCGCCAAGTCGGTGGGCAGGGCCTTCGAGGCGGCGGGCTGGGAGGTCGTCTCCCTGGACATCGTGTCGAAATTTGAGCCCACCATCCTGTGCGACATCCGGAGCTGGGACTACACGACGTTTCCGCCGGGGCACTTCGACATGGTTTGGGCCAGCCCGTCTGCACGGAATACAGCCGCGCGCTGACGACGCGCCCGCGGCGGCTCCTGGAGGGCGACGCGCTGGTGCTCAGCGCCCTTGAGATCATTGCGCGCTTTGACCCGCTCATGTGGGTCATCGAGAACCCGGCCACCGGGCTGCTGAAGACCCGCCCGTTCATGGAGCGCCTGCCCTGGGTGGACGTGACCTACTGCAAGTACGGAACTCCGTACAGGAAGCAGACGCGGCTGTGGACCAACATGCGCTGGAGGCCGAGGCGAGGCCTGTGCAGGCCCGGCAGCCGCTGCGGCGCGTGGCAGGACGGCAGGCACCTCCGGGCCGCGCAGCGGGGGCCCCGGCTGATGGAGGGGCAGTACGAGAGGGTCAGCCAGCAGCCACGCGAGCTGCTCTACAGCGTTCCTGCTGCGCTGTGCGACGAGATTGCGCGCGCGGCCACGGCGGAGCTTGCGGAGCGGCTGAGCATTCCGGACTGAGTCTTCGGGCTTCCTCTAATCCGAGGGGCTTCCTCTAATCCGAGGGACCTGGAAGAAGCCCATTTTTTCCATGTTTTTGCTGGTTTTTTGGGCGCAGTCCTCTCTAGTTAAAAACGACTATGAAGGACAGCGCGCTTTTTTTGTCATTTTTGGGCGCTGCCACTCAACGTCAAAAACGAAGTTGGGCTTTTTTGCTGTTTTTTGTGGCGGTGTCCCTCAACTTCAAAAGCGGTGTCACTCTGCATCAAAAATGATGCAGAGTGACACCGGGCCTTTTTTTTAGTCCAGCACCGAGACGCCCGTGCCGGAGAGCGTCACCAGCTGGTAGGCCACCAGGATGAACAGGTCCGTCATCGTGCCGTCCAGGCCCTTGAAGGTGAACCGGGCAAGGTCGCCCGAGCGGGTGCTGACACCACTCAGCGGCATCTTGGGCACGCGCTCGGTGGGAAAGCCGGCAATGAAGCTGTGGCGCAGGTAGCCCACGCGGACAGGCAAGACGGTGGAGTGGCAGTGTTTTTTGAGGGTCTAGTACTTGTACTACTCACATCGTGGCCAAACGCCTACCAGCCTAGGTTCGGGTATTGGCGATGCCTTTAGTGTTGGGAAATTTGGTTGCTATTAATTTTGTTTTTTCTAACGGATCTCAGGCGGGAATTGTGGGAGGAAAGGCTCTCGGCAGAATTGTGTTGCATGTGTAGAATTGGGAAACCAGTTGGCAGATGTTCGCTGTAGGTGCAGCTGTGTGTTTAAGTGTTTATGTTGGCAGCCTTTGGCCCAGTCAGAACTAGAGGAGACACCCGGGTGCTAGCTCGCGTGCTCGGATGGTGTAACGTATGCCCTTGCGTGATCGGAAAACGGGTTTACATGAGATGCAGCATTCGAGTTGATCCTGGTGGGTGAAATTCTTGCCCAATCACTAGAACTGGTCTGTCTTGCGACCGTCCACACTGGACATGCTGGCGGCGAAAAAGAGACGGAATTCGAGCAGGTCTTGTCGCATTGCATTTTTACCACGCAAGGACTGCTAGATGGTACTGATCTCATAGTATGTCGAGTGTAAATGAGAGCGGTGCGGTCGACGTGAAGTGCCAAGAAGACTGACCAGACAATGAGTGCAGAATCATGTCAGCTGTTTCGGAGCGCGTGGACGCGCAAGAACAAAACTAGCGAGGCACCCTGCAGAAGTGCCAGGCTCCGCAACTGTGCGGATTCCCCGTAATGGCGCCAAGCCTCGCAGGCCCCAGAACATGCTTGCCCTTCCAAGAGAGCCCAAGTTTGCAGATGGTTTGATCTAGGACTCGGGCCAAACAGCAGACTTGCAGTTCTTGCTGGCCAAGGCAGACTGGTGGCGTTTCGATGGGCCAGGGGCTGCCAGGCCTGCCGCCATGTGCGATTACCCGAGTTCGCGAAACCATCTCGTCTGATTTGGCTGCTGTTTGCGCGCAGGGGCCACGCCAAGGAAACTTCGATGTGCGACAATGCATTTTTTCAACCTGCCCGTTGGAGGCACCAAGGCACCGGAAGCACGCTCCCGCCTGGAGTCCAGGTGGCCAGCTTCACCATGTGTTTCCTCAGCGCTCAGACGCCCAAGACAGGTGCACGTGGAGGTGCACGTGGAGGTGCATGGCCGCACAGATGCCACTTGTTGTTTGCATGTGTGCAGCTTCCATTCCTTCTGAGCCCGAGTGAAAATGTTGAATGTCGGCTGGAGGCAGCCATTGACAGGCGCAACTCAAAGGGTCTGAGACAGAAGGGTCGCTGGCGTTTGCTTGATTTGGTGCCGGCCTTTTTGCCATGGATGTCAATCGAAGCTGACACCCAGACAACCCCGCGCACGTCGCTTATTGGTTTAGCCATTGAGCGCTTCGCGCATGGCTTTGCAAAGGTCAGGCACATGGCCTGGTCCTGGATGGTTGATGCTATGGGCAGCCTGTAGGGACTTGCCCTTGGTACATCAGATGCTTGTAGAACCTAAACTCAACACGCAACACGTACTTGCAGCTTGTGTGGACTGGGGCTCAAACCCCAAAGCCCAGTTCCCAAGTCAGAAAACGTGCCCCGCCGTGCACCCAAAGAGTTGCAGAAATTGAGAGTGCCCAGCCCGAGCGCTTGTGTCAATATCAACGCAAAGATGGTTCCTTTGCTCGACAGAAGGGAAGGCAGGTGTCAGGCTTTCCTTTCCAAAACTTATCATCAGTTTGCCAACTGCAAAAGAGCAAAGAACACTGGCCAAGGTGATGCGCTAGGGCCTTAGGGCTGCTAGGCCTCATGCCGCATCTTCCTGCATGCTCAACATTTGCGCCTTTTTCGCTACGAGTTGCGGCCTTTTTGTTGTTGCTCAATTTGAGTGTTAAGCGCAAGCTCTCCGAAGCTGCAGGCAAGAATTCCCGACCAACAGGCCGAAACTCCCGACCAACAGTAACTGGCAACTTCAAATATGTGCGACAATGCATTTCATACAAGTTGCCTGTCCTCAGGGCTTACAAGCCCAAGACAGGATGTGCGTGGAGGTGCATAGCTGTGGCAGCTGCTTGCGCACCTTCCATACCTGAGCCAGCTGTGCTCCGTCAAGGGTGATGCTGGACATGGAGTTGCTGGCCGGCGGGTCTGACCCTTCAGTGACCATAGCACCAGCGTAGGTGTCCTTTTTAGTTGGTTTTGCTGAAAAGTAGATGGCCCTCATTTTCCCGGTGGTTTAACCATCTACCAGGGCCAGCTTACGCAAAAAGGACACCTATGAGCACCAGCCCCTTCAATGGAACGCTGCTCCCGGCCCTGTGCCTCAAGAGGTCCGCAAAGTCCGACGCGAGCGCACCTTGGCTCCGGAGTGGCAGGTCAAGCCGTAGACGATGTTTATACCGACGCGATGGCCCGGAAGCAGACGAAGTCGCGTGGCTTCCTTGTTCCTTTTGTCGACTGGCCGGACCCGGGAATTTGCGCCCTGCAACTGAGGGCGACAGCGACCCATGTGTCGCGTGCAAAAGCACTGGGCAACGGGGTGATGCCACTTTGGATCAGGTTTTGTTTGACGTGGTGTGCTATTTGCTTGCGGACCCCGATTTGCGCATTCGCCGGATGGAACCGTGCCTGAGCAGCGTCCAATACCTCCGTGCTCATGCTCACTTTGCCTAAGCAAGAAGTGCACGAGCGTAAAGCGCCATAAGCTGATGGCCAAGGAAAACCTGTTACATGCGTCGCGTAAGCAAAAACTCCACGCGTGCGAGGTGGTGATAACCTGGTGGCGTAGGCTAAACGATGCGACATAGCAAGCCATGATTTGTTTGGACATGGCTCACTTGCGTGAGTCGCGGACAGAGGCTGTTTTCATGTTCGCGCAACCCCGACTTGCAGGGTTTTAGACACAACCAGCACGAAGGTCCCAGTTCCCCTAACACTGCTTGTTCGGCCCTCAAGATTCCATCATTCTAGAGCCCTCCTTTCCATCATTCTACAGCCGGCCCGCCCGTGCCCCAACCCAGCCTCGCGCGCGCATTCTGCACTTCTGCATTACATTTCCAAAACCTGTGATGAACTCTTTGGGCTCCGCTTATTCGGGGTAGGCGTTGGCCCGATTGCTGCTCGAGGTGTTCCAAAGTTTGCCAATTGCAAAAGCGAAGTGTCGCACGCGCAGTGCACAAGGACGGCAGCGGGTGATGCCCCGTTGTGTTGTGGCTGGCCTGCCACTCGCTGTGTCCGAACGAGGCAGCGGAATGCCCAGGCCAAACGCATCCCTGCAAGGCATGTTAGCCGGCAACGCGAGAAGCCAGGAAAGCTTGATGGGGCAAAAATACGCAGCAGGCCCAACTTGAAAGCCTCTGCCTACACGTGACACGTCTTGGCTGGTGGGACATCCAGCCATTCTTGGCCCTCTATTTTGTGGAGACCGGCTCTTGAGCAGCAAAATTCAACAGCCGCTGCGGGAAGGCTTGAGCCTGGGGCATCGAAAGCGAGTAAGGCGGTGTGTGAGCAGTGCCCGCAAATTGGCGGGGCTTCATCTGACTGAAAGCGGGTCCAACGCGAGTTTTTTGCTGAAGGGTCCAGAACTATGTTTCAATCGTGCCTGAAATCGCCGATGGCGTGAACCTTACTATGAGCACGAACAGCTGCAACCTGGATCGCAAGCGAGTAAGGCGGTGCGTGTGTGAACTGGAGTGCCCGCTTTTGTCGCACTCAAAGCAGGGTCAGGCTCTTGATTTTTTGCTGAAGGGCCCAGAGCTAGTTTTCAATCCCACACGGCGGTGCTCGTGCGTGACTGCCAGAACAGGTGGCCCAGAGCAGATCAGAACAGCCCGGGGTGTGTGAAGAGGCAGTCCCCGCTCGTGCAGCCAACTTTGCGCTGGATTGAACCTTGTTGCCGGCAGCAGCAGTGGCAAAACATGTTCAGCGCCTTTCAGCCTGATTACCGAGAGCAACTTCTGTAGCAGCGTTTTGTTTCTCTTTCCCCGTTCCCGTGTGCTGAAGCCATGTGACTGAGCGTGGTCACGGAGGGTAGTTTGTAGTTAGACGGTGCCAAGGATGTAGTTGCCAAGAAGGTGTCGACAGCTGCTGGCCGGACCCGATAATTTGCTGGGCCTTGCGACTGAGTGGGCGTTAAGCGACAGCGACCCATGTGTCGCGTGCAAAAAGCACTGGGCAACGGGGTGATGCCACTTTGGATCAAGTTTTGTTTGTGGACCTGATTTGCGCATTTGCGGGATGGAAAGGTGCCTGAGCAGCGTCCAATACCTCCGTGCTCATGTTTACTTTGCCTGAGCAAGAAGCAGTGCACGAGCGTAAAGCGCCGTAAGCTGATGGGCAAGGAAGACCTGTTCCATGCGTCGCGTAAGCAACAACTCCACGCGTGTGAGGTGGTGATGACCTGGTGGCGTAGGCTAAACGATGCGACATAGCAAGCCATGATTTGTTTGGACATGGCTCACTTGCGTGAGTCGCGGACAGGCGCTGTGAGTCCGCTTCAGAGAGGCAGACACAACCAGCACGAAGGTCCCAGTTCCCCTAACACTGCTTGTTCGGCCCTCAAGATTCCATCATTCTAGAGCCCTCCTTTCCATCATTCTACAGCCAGCCCGCCCGTGCCCCAACCCAGCCTCGCGCGCGCATTCTGCGCTTCTGCATTACACAGCGTCCCCGACCCTGTTTCCGAACTACTCAGAAGCCGTGGTGTCAGGTTTTCCTTTCCAAAACCTGTGATGAACTGTTTGGGCCCCGCTTATTCGGGGTGGGCGTTGGCCCGATTGCTGCTCGAGGTGTTCCAAAGTTTGCCAATTGCAAAAGCGAAGTGTCACACTCGCATAAGTGCACAAGGACGGCAGCGGGTGATGCCCCGTTTTGTTGTGCGGGGCCTGCCACTCGCTGTGTCCGAACGAATAGGAATTCACAGGCCAAACGCATCCCTGCAAGGCATGTTAGCCGGCAACGCGAGAAGCCAGGAAAGCTTGATGTTTCGATTTCGTGCCCGAAATCGCGGATGTTGCGTGAACCTTGCAGCTTTACCAAACTTGGTAGCTTTTGTGTTGCCTGACATCCATTCTTGGCTCAAGAGCCGAACAGCTGCCTGGATCGCAAGCGAGTAAGGCGGTGCGTGTGAGAACTGGAGTGCCCGCGTTTGTCGCACTCAAAGCAGGGTCAGGCTCTTGATTTTTTGCTGAAGGGCCCAGAGCTAGTTTTCAATCCCACACGGCGGTGCTCGTGCGTGACTGCCAGAACAGGTGGCCCAGAGCAGATCAGAACAGCCCGGGGTGTGTGAAGAGGCAGTCCCCGCTCGTGCAGCCAACTTTGCGCTGGATTGAACCTTGTTGCCGGCAGCAGCAGTGGCAAAACATGTTCAGCGCCTTTCAGTCTGATTACCGAGAGCAACTTCTGTAGCAGCGTTTTGTTTCTCTTTCCCCGTTCCCGTGTGCTGAAGCCATGTGACTGAGCGTGGTCACGGAGGGTAGTTTGTAGTTAGACGGTGCCAAGGATGTAGTTGCCAAGAAGGTGTCGACAGCTGCTGGCCGGACCCGATAATTTGCTGGGCCTTGCGACTGAGTGGGCGTTAAGCGACAGCGACCCATGTGTCGCGTGCAAAAAGCACTGGGCAACGGGGTGATGCCACTTTGGATCAAGTTTTGTTTGTGGACCTGATTTGCGCATTTGCGGGATGGAAAGGTGCCTGAGCAGCGTCCAATACCTCCGTGCTCATGTTTACTTTGCCTGAGCAAGAAGCAGTGCACGAGCGTAAAGCGCCATAAGCTGATGGGCAAGGAAGACCTGTTACATGCGTCGCGTAAGCAACAACTCCACGCGTGTGAGGTGGTGATGACCTGGTGGCGTAGGCTATACGATGCGACATAGCAAGCCATGATTTGTTTGGACATGGCTCACTTGCGTGAGTCGCGGACAGGCGCTGTGAGTCCGCTTCAGAGAGGCAGACACAACCAGCACGAAGGTCCCAGCTCCCCTAACACTGCTTGTTCGGCCCTCAAGATTCCATCATTCTAGAGCCCTCCTTTCCATCATTCTACAGCCAGCCCGCCCGTGCCCCAACCCAGCCTCGCGCGCGCATTCTGCGCTTCTGCATTACACAGCGTCCCCGACCCTGTTTCCGAACTACTCAGAAGCCGTGGTGTCAGGTTTTCCTTTCCAAAACCTGTGATGAACTGTTTGGGCCCCGCTTATTCGGGGTGGGCGTTGGCCCGATTGCTGCTCGAGGTGTTCCAAAGTTTGCCAATTGCAAAAGCGAAGTGTCACACGCGCATAAGTGCACAAGGACGGCAGCGGGTGATGCCCCGTTTTGTTGTGCGGGGCCTGCCACTCGCTCGCTGTGTCCGAACGAAGAGGAATTCACAGGCCAAACGCATCCCTGCAAGGCATGTTAGCCGGCAACGCGAGAAGCCAGGAAAGCTTGATGTTTCGATTTCGTGCCCGAAATCGCGGATGTTGCGTGAACCTTGCAGCTTTAGCAAACTTGGTAGCTTTTGTGTTGCCTGACATCCATTCTTGGCCTGATATTTTTTGGAGACTACCTGTGCTCAAGAGCCGAACAGCTGCCTGGATCGCAAGCGAGTAAGGCGGTGCGTGTGTGAACTGGAGTGCCCGCTTTTGTCGCACTCAAAGCAGGGTCAGGCTCTTGATTTTTTGCTGAAGGGCCCAGAGCTAGTTTTCAATCCCACACGGCGGTGCTCGTGCGTGACTGCCAGAACAGGTGGCCCAGAGCAGATCAGAACAGCCCGGGGTGTGTGAAGAGGCAGTCCCCGCTCGTGCAGCCAACTTTGCGCTGGATTAGACCTTGTTGCCGGCAGCAGCAGTGGCAAAACATGTTCAGCGCCTTTCAGCCTGATTACCGAGAGCAACTTCTGTAGCAGCGTTTTGTTTCTCTTTCCCCATTCCCGTGTGCTGAAGCCATGTGACTGAGCGTGGTCACGGAGGGTAGTTCGTAGTTAGACGGTGCCAAGGATGTAATTGCCAACGCCTTGAACTTGTGATTGTGATTGCCCGCAAGCTTTACAGGGACAGCTGGTAGGCTTCCGGGATGCTGCCTGCCCCCGTTCAGCGCAAGTCAGGTGCAATGTGACAGACTAAAAGACTTCTACTGTACACGTTCCACGCGAGCGAGCCAATGAGCTCCCGGTGGAAACTTCGCAAATGTAGCGTGCAAAAGATTGCCCGGAGCCAATGATTGGCAAGCAATGGAATGGGAGAGTGGGGCGAGGGGGGAAGGGTGGGCCATTTGTTGATTGAGAATTTGCGATTAAAAACTCAGTGAATTTGATTTCCTGTGTTTGCCGTACTAGTTTCACGCTTGGAAGGGTTTGGCTCCTTCCAGGAATTCGGAACCACTCTAAACCATTCCCTTTGGTTGATCCCAAACAGTTCCGGCTGGGAACAAAAGAGGCCGTCGTTGAAACCACCACACACTTTTGAGCGAATCATGGCAGATCATCATCAGCTACTCATGCTCTCAAGTCTTCCAGAGAGCTGGGGCCATTCTGGGGCATCATGTGTCATTCACCGAGTTGCCAAGAAAGTGGGCACATTCTTAAAGCCTCACCTTGGCACTGAATCGCAAGCCGACAAATCCCCGGCTTTGCAAGGGCCTCGGGCGGCGATCGAAACAGCGCCCAGCATGGCTATCCAGAGGGAAGTGCTATTTGACATATTGATTTGACGTATTGATTTGCCAGCGCTGGTTGATTTGCAGTCATGCCCCCCTCCCCCCCAAATTATTTTTGCAAAAAGCATGAAACATAAAGTGTTGGTTTCCTGGAACAAGTTCTTGCAGAAGGGTTGATGGGAAAGATGTTCGTTCATAAAACCCCTTGCGACCGCTTGCGATGTGCTTGTCCCTTGTGGCAATGCATTCAGATGGACCTGTGTTTAGACTTGAGCCTTACTCGTTGCATCAAGGGCGCGCAGTTGCTGCCCTTGCAGGGATTGAAGTTGTTCCTGAGAAGCAAACAAAGGCAGTTGACACCTGCAGCTGCAAGGTGTCGGAAGTTGCCCAAAAAGAAATTCTTACCGCTTGGAGTAGCCTCAGCTTAGCACTGGAGGACTGATAATGCAGTGCACGCGTATGTTTGCTTGTCGTGTGAGTCATTCTAGTTCAGCTCAGCGTGTGATGCGTCTGCATGGATAGCGCCTCTTAGGGTTTTGGCTGCGTACAAATTGGGAGCTGAGCAATGCAAGCACGCTTTTGTGTGTTGCTGCTGTGTTGGCGCAAAAATCGGGATGAGTGCCACAGCAGCGGGACCTGTTGCCGAATTGCAGGGCGATAAACGAGCGCGGAATTAAGTTGTTGCTGTGCAGCAAGTTTGGAGGAAGCTCAGCTTGGCACTGGAGGAATGAACAAACGTACGCTGTGTTGCCTGTCGTGCGAGTCAGTGCAGGGCAATAACGTTTGTGCACAGCTTGACGTGTGTTGGACGTTTTACACATTCCGTAGCACTGGAGGAATGATGATGTAGCTGCACTCTTCACGCATGTTATTAGGCTTTTGGTGTGTTGGCGCTACTGTAAATCGGGATGAGTGCCACAGCAATGCAAGGACACTTGCAAGCGTCGCAGCTTGTCCACAGCATGAAGTCTCTTAGGGTTTTGGCTGGATTCAAATTGGGACATAAGTGCTTTTCGCGTCGGGACCTGTTGCCGAATTGCAGGGCGATAAACGAGCGCGGAATCAAGTTGTTGCTGTGCAGCAAGTTTGGAGGAAGCTCAGCTTGGCACTGGAGGAATGAACAAACGTACGCTGTTTTGCCTGTCGTGCGAGTCAGTGCAGGGCAATAACGTTTGTGCACAGCTTGACGTGTGTTGGACGTTTTACACATTCCGTAGCACTGGAGGAATGATGATGTAGCTGCACTCTTCACGCATGTTATTAGGCTTTTGGTGTGTTGGCGCTAAATCGGGATGCGTGCCACAGCAATGCAAGGACACTTGCAAGCGTCGCAGCTTGTCCACAGCATGAAGTCTCTTAGGGTTTTGGCTGGATTCAAATTGGGACATAAGTGCTTTTCGCGTCGGGACCTGTTGCCGAATTGCAGGGCGATAAACGAGCGCGGAATTAAGTTGTTGCTGTGCAGCAAGTTTGGAGGAAGCTCAGCTTGGCACTGGAGGAATGAACAAACGTACGCTGTTTTGCCTGTCGTGCGAGTCAGTGCAGGGCAATAACGTTTGTGCACAGCTTGACGTGTGTTGGACGTTTTACACATTCCGTAGCACTGGAGGAATGATGATGTAGCTGCACTCTTCACGCATGTTATTAGGCTTTTGGTGTGTTGGCGCTAAATCGGGATGCGTGCCACAGCAATGCAAGGACACTTGCAGGCGTCACAGCCTGTCCACGGCATGAAGTCTCTTAGGGTTTTGGCTGGATTCAAATGGGACATAAGTGCTTTCGTGTCGGGACCTGTTCGCCTGTTGTCTTGCCGGAGATCCTGACAAGTAGGAAGTTGCAGTTTCTGGTGACCACGTTTTTGTGGGTGAGTTGCAGGGCGACAAATGAGCATTGATTTAAGTTGTTCCTGTGACGATTCCGGTGAGCGAACAAAGGAAGTTACCACTTTCACGTGCACAGCTTGGCAGGTGTCGGAAGTTACGCACATTCTTTGTTTGGCTTAAGCTCAGCTTAGCACGGGAGCAATTATGATCTAACTGCACGCGGGCTATCATGTTTTTCTTCCTCGTGTGTGTGAGTGTGTCTGTGTGTCTGTGTGTGTGTGGGAAGCTAAAAAATGGCATGCGCACCGCTTTGCTGCATTGTTCCTGCAAATGTCGTTTTGACGATTTGGGCTGACGTTCCAAGCTTCACTTGTGCATGTGAATAGCCATGATTTCTTAGGGTTTAGGCTGGATGCAAGAAGCGTACCTAGGGTTGCGACTTGGTACTTTCCTTTCTTTTTGCATGTTGTGTGAGTCAGTGCAATGTTCAGGATGTGGCTGTCGGAATCTTTTACCTTTGGAATTAGGAAGCTGCAGTTTCTGGAAGCCCGGTTTTCGCAGGGCGACAAATGAGCACGGATTGACGTTGTTCCTGCTTTGTGCAGCAAACATGATGTGTGTGGGAAGGTGCACATATTCCTAAAATTTGGGTTCTGCCGCATTGCACTGGAGGAATGATGTATTCGCGCGCGTTCCCTGGCTTTCTGTTTGTGTGTGCGGGAAGCTAAATGCAAGGCAGGGAAGCTTACACCGCAAGTTTGCGCAGATTTCCTGCATCGTTCCTGCAAAGAGCGTTTTGGCAGATTTTGGCAGGCGTTCCAGTCAGAAGGTCTAGTGTGACATTCCAGCCTTCACCACTGCGTGTGCATAGCCTTGAGTTTCTTAGGATTTCGCGTCTGGCATGGGTGTCGTTTTGGGGTACCCGATTTTTGGGGAAGGAATTTTGAGCAAGACACCCTGCGGGGTGTCTTGCTGTCAGGCTTAGAGTTGCCAGTGGCAAATCTGAAGCTTGGAATTGTGTGGCTCGTTGATGCCAGTTTCAGGTTGGGGGCCGCCGCAAGACTGGAAGCCGTTTGAGCAGCGACGTGGCGAAAATTCGCCGCTGGACCGCTGGAGCCATTGATGTCAGGCTCATCTGTGTTGCGTAGGTGGGTTGAAAGGGAAACCACCAGGAAGTCAGTCAATAGGACTATGATATGTAAGGGGATTTGGCACACCAAGATATATCAGGAAACTCACTTACTTGTCGCATGGTTGGGGACACCAACATGTCTGGCCGTGGCTCATGTTGGGCGAAAGAAAGGCGCCCGCATGGAGGTGGTCAAAATTAGGGCCTTTTTAGCACCCTCTACAAGGCGGCACAAGGCGCAGCAGGGTTCAAAAAGGGCATTGACACCCCCCCATACTGAAAAGGTTGAATGGTTGGGGTGTGACTTATAGCCCTGTCATTTGCGCATTTGGGCATTGGGCAGAGTTGTCAACTTGCCAAACGTAGATGCCAGCAGGCCGTTCAGCAATGTGATGGCTTCTTGTATGCGTTCGCATTGTGGAGGCCAGCATCCTCATGTGCTCACATTCGGGGAAGGTGCTCGAGGGGCGGCCCAACTCTGAGGCCAACATCTCAAGGAAGAACTGCAATAGAACTGCAACAGGGCGTGAGCAGAAGCTAACAGAGCTTTGTTCGAAGCACTTTTCCCAAAACGAGGTCGAGCGCACGCGTCGGTATCCACACGCAGGCAAAGGGGCAAACAGCGATTCCAGCGCATTGAGTGGTTTCGCCGCGTTGGCTGGAAGGGCCTTTTTGCCGTCTTGTTGCCAGCGGTGGCAGCGTATGACGCTGTGGCACCCAGGTCGGACCCTGAACAGCTGCCACCCTTGCAAGAGATTGCTTGGTCGAGTAGCGATTCAGCATGGGCGAGTGGCACAGGCAACCGCGAGTCCGAATGAATGAAGTTGGTTTTTCAGCTATATGGAGGGATGGGCCAAGCCGGGGACACATCGCAAGTGCAGAGCGGGTCGGAAAACAAGGACGGCGTCCACTCGTTAGCTGCCCGTATTATGCCGCCGAATTGTCTGCATCATCTTGATGCCGTCTGCGTGCAGCCGGAGCCAACACGAGGTTTGCTCCTGGCCGTGCCTGGGCTGCTTGCTTGTTTATCGACTGCTGTGCGCTCATTTCGTGATTCAATTGCTGCCGCGCGTGCTCCGGAGTTTTGTGGACGTGCTGACACAGAACCGCGGAGCGTAGCGCAAGTGAGCGGAGCGCCAAGTCTGGCAAAAAGGACAATTCCGTTCCAGCGCAGCTCGCCGCTGGCATCATGACCACGCCGTGTTGTCGCGATGATGTTGCTAGGTTTCGTTGCCGCATTTGCTGAGATCAGACACACCATTGTTGTTTTTCTCCTCCGCACAGTGTCCATCCGCCGTGGGTCTCCCTGTCAGCAAACATGCTTAAGGGGTTCTGCCGCCAGGCACAGGGGCGCTGGGGCATTGGCATCCAGTTGTGCGCGCCACAAAGGGCTGTTTGGGTTTTGAGCCGCGCGCTCCCTAGCGAGCAACGCGGCCTGCATGTCTTCGGCGCCCGCTCATGAGCAGAGTTCGGCTCCAGCTTGGTCGCCCGCAGCGCTGACCACGTTGCCGTTCTCGACCAGCGCTCTCGCTGCGGGATCTCCCGTCCGCTTTCGTCGCCTCTGCCCCCTCCCCACGTCCTGCCTGCGAGCACCGGGTCTAACACAAAGCTGGGGGTGCTGTCACCGCCATGTTGCTTCGGCAACATCCTGCGGGTGTCTCTGTGTCTCTGTGTCTCTGTGTCTGTGTCTCTGTGTCTCTGTGTCTCTGTGTCTCTGTGTCTCTGTGTCTCTGTGTCTCTGTGTCTCTGTGTCTCTGTGTCTCTGTGTCTCTGTGTCTCTGTGTCTCTGTGTCTCTGTGTCTCTGTGTCTCTCTGTGTCTCTGTGTCTCTGTGTCTCTGTGTCTCTGTGTCTCTGTGTCTCTGTGTCTCTGTGTCTCTGTGTCTCTGTGTCTCTGTGTCTCTGTGTCTCTGTGTCTCTGTCTCTGTCTCTGTGTCTCTGTCTCTGTGTCTCTGTGTCTCTGTCTCTGTCTCTGTCTCTGTGTCTCTGTGTCTCTGTGTCTCTGTGTCTCTGTGTCTCTGTGTCTCTGTGTCTCTGTGTCTCTGTCTCTGTGTCTCTGCGTCTCTGTCTCTGTGTCTCTGTGTCTCTGTCTCTGTCTCTGTCTCTGTGTCTCTGTGTCTCTGTCTCTGTCTCTGTGTCTCTGTCTCTGTGTCTCTGTGTCTCTGTGTCTCTGTGTCTCTGTGTCTCTGTGTCTCTGTGTCTCTGTGTCTCTGTGTCTCTGTGTCTCTCTGTGTCTCTGTGTCTCTGTGTCTCTGTGTCTCTGTGTCTCTGTGTCTCTGTGTCTCTGTGTCTCTGTGTCTCTGTGTCTCTGTGTCTCTGTGTCTCTGTGTCTCTGTGTCTCTGTGTCTGTGTCTCTGTGTTTCTGTGTCTCTGTGTCTCTGTGTCTCTGTGTCTGTGTGTCTCTGTGTCTCTGTGTCTGTGTGTCTCTGTGTCTCTGCGTCTGTGTGTCTCTGTGTCTCTGCGTCTCTGTGTCTCTGCGTCTCTGTGTCTCTGTGTCTCTGTGTCTCTGTTTCTTGGTGTCTCTGTGTCTCTGTGTCTGTGTGTCTGTGTTGGCAAGGCTGCGCGTCTCCAGCGCATGGAGGTATCAGACAGGATTCCAGCTTGGCCCACCCGCTGCATCTCCCCCTAACGTGGCCTCCCGCGTGAAGGCGCGCGCAGGTCAAACGGATTTTGTCTCGTGCTCTGACAAGGGCAGCCACGAGCGTAGGGAAGGCACGTTGCCCGCAGCGCGTCGCAGAAAAAGCGCTGCGGATGGGAGGTCGAAAAATTGCAGGAATTCATCTAGCCAACTGGCTGCGGGGCTTTTGCTCTGGGGCGCCCTTGGACGGTGTTCTCAAGCCCCGGCGGTGCTCCGCCGCGTGGGATTTTGGGGAGGCCATAAAATATACATCATAAAGCGAGGGGCGCTCTCCCACGCTATCTGTGGATACGCCTATATTGATGAGGGACCAGGGCGATTCCCCGAAAGAGACGCCTCCAAACATGAATAGTTGGGCTTTGCCACCGCTCAGCATCCTACTCGCGATGAAGGCCGTAACTAATTCGGCGCCCTAGCCCTCGTTAAGTCCGGTTCTAGCTAAACACCCCTCATTGTAAAACTTAGTTTTAGAACATCTGGATACAACTCACACCAGTTTTTTTCTTTAGCTTTATTACAAGTGACGCGGTTTTCTCAGCTAAGGACAGGCGTGGCTTCACCGTTTCACTCGCTGGCCCCCACCCGTCGGCTGTCACTAGATCTCGCGGTCTAACTGACTCGCGTGCCGGCAAAATAAGCGTTTGTGCCTTGTGACCTTGCTTGAGCGACAACGCTGTCCCGCCGCGCCCGCAGCGCTACTCCTCGTGGCGCGGCCGCGCCGCCTCACGGTCTGGCCCGATGATTGCTGTGTCTGCCTTCAGGCCCTCCTTCTGAACAGTCGGGGTGCCTTAAGCCCCGTGCTGTTGCCAGTCTGCCCACGGCATGTCCCTCACGATTGTTGTCTCGTGTGCGTGCGTGCGTGCGTGCGTGCGTGCGTGCGTGCGTGCGTGCGTGCGTGCGTGGGTGGGTGGGTGTGTGTGTGTGTGTGTGTGTGTGTGTGTGTGTGTGCGAACTCTCAAGACGCCCATCCTGGGGCATTGCCACACCAGCATTGCGCTGTCTTGCAAGGCAATGGCATGCGCGAGCGCCTCGGAAGTAACACTGGGAAATGCGCTTGCTCAAGAGCCAACTCCGGGCACACAGGCAGCATCAGGAAGGCTTGGGCAGCATCAAGAAGGCTTGGGCTGAGCACGGACCGGACTGCGACAACAACATCGCAGCGG